CATTTCGTAGATGTTTTTTTAAGTTAAAACATGTCGCTGTGTACATGGATTCTTGTCAAATATTTTTGGTTAGAAACTTTACGTTTTTGCTATCTAAATTTTTTGTTTCGGATTTTTAGCTAAATTGTGTGTTCAAAACGTTTTTGCATGTGCGAAAACCGCGTTTTTGGAGACATTTTAGGCTAAAAGTTCAAAATGTAGACAAAAAATTTAGATAGTAATATGGCAGTGTGAAGTTTCTCGCCAAAAATATTTGGCGACTTGAGGGCACATATCAGAGTAGTTCCAATTTTTCTAATTTAAAGTATACATTATCATCTTAATGCTTCAAAATATTTTAAAAAGATTAAATTTAAAGTTAATTATGGAAAATAAATAAAATAGCTTGTTTGGAATTTCAGCTTTAAATTTATTAAAAAAATCAAGTTAATCTAACTATAATAAGAATCAAATGGCTAACTATTGTTGGTTTAGCATTTGAATGAAATAGAAAGTGTCACAAAATCTCCAAGGAACATAATTTTCATTACAACAATGGTCAAAACTAAATGTTAATATAAACAGCTACCAATAAATTCCACCAGCTTTTAATCAAACTTTCACATAATCATATAGCATCCTAAATATGTATATAATAAGCCTCATCAACATAGATGAATGCTAAAAAAATGAGCAAGTAATAGAATAAATCATTGCAATGAATACGTTACAAGCTGATCTTGAAAAAGAAGTTTATTGACTAAAGTAAAGATTAATCTGGACATAATTTAGAAGCATTTTTATCACACACATGAAAACAATTATAATAAATAGAAAAACTACATATCGAATAGAACGGCTTGCATGAAAAACAAGTCATGCACAGAAACTTGAAAAATCAGCTTATTAATGATGTTCTTCACAGAAAAAAATAAAAATTAGTTTTATAAAAACGAAACAGTGACATACAGAAACATTATTTAAAGAATATGTTTAAATATGCATTTATTTATTATATAATATATATTTATTTTATCTATTAACACACATTTTTTGACATACATTAAATCTAGTCAAGCTATTTCAAAGACAGATATTTCTAGCAGTCTCTGAACATTAATTATGTGACATTCTACCTTAAAACACCTTTGCAAATCATTTGTTGCTGACTTGAGTGTTCACAACTTGAGACACCATTCATCATCCAATGCAATTGACACACCCCAATTGACCCTTTATTAAAGTGCCTAGTTCAATTGAACAGCATATTTTGCTTTCTAGACAAGAAAAGGAAAACAACAGTCAGCAAGGATACTCACACAAATCTCCTAAAAGGACAACTCCTTAGCTAATGCATTTAGATGTTTAGATTGGCAAATTTAATCACTTTATCCATAAAATGTAAATTTCAAATGCATATGCTAAAATTTATGTGATAACTGTTTTAAAAAGGAAGTAACCCCCTAAATCCATTGCAATTAACTCATAGATTAAAATTACTATTGGTATTTATCACAAAGTTTGCATCAACAAACTATTTGCATAAAACTTTTGAGAATATAACATTAAAATTTCATAAAACGTTCATCTAAAAAACACCTTCATTTTATTAAATTCCTTAACTTTAATTGCCAAAATCTTTTTTTGGAATTATAAGCCAGGTTCAAATGAGTTTTTAAAAGTCACTGACTGTTACCAAGCACTAAATATTTTATCCTCATACCACATTACTTAATTGGCAGTCACCAGTAACATAGCTAAAGGAGAGTAAACAAACATGGTGGCACTTTTTTTGGAGGTAGAACAACGATACTCTGAATTGCCATATAGAAATAAATTGAGAGAATAAGTATTTTTTAATACTAAATAAAGTGCGTAAATAGATCACTAAAAGATTTCAACAGCTACATCACCCTCGTGGCTAATCTTTAGAATATGCTAACAGGTAGTTTGGCGACATTTTAGTAAGGCGATAAAGGTTACTAGGTAGAATTTTAGCAATAATCTGAGAACTACACAGTTCGAATCGCAGATTATTTTGTCTCGGAGAAATGAGAGATCATAAGACATGTCATGTGACATTTTCCGGAAAATTCCGATCGTGATTTTAACTAATGAGCACTTAGAAACAATTTCGCTGCTAAAGTGCAGAATCGCCCACTTATTTGTTTGGCCCTTTTTACAAGAGTAAGAAGAATTGGATTTTTGTCAATTTTCTTTGACTTTTTAAGTGAAAATAGGTCGATGTGTACATAGATAAAGTCAAGAGTGTGCACAATGCCATTTTTGTGCAATTCTGGGATGTTTTTTTTAAGTGAAAATAGGTCGACATGTACATGGATACCGTGTATGTGCGATTCTTAAAAACGCGGGAAGCAGTTTGCGATTCTGCACTTTCTCCCAATTTCGCACCTAATCTTCGTCATGATTAAGCATTTACGTTCCATAAAAGTTCTAGTATAAACGTAATTCGGCTAGCAGATTGCTGGAAAAAATGTTGAGTTAAAAAAAAAACAAAAAAAAAAAAAATGCCTTTACTTCGTGAAAACAAAATGGGGCTGATCTTTACAATATGGTAACTGGTAGTTTGGCGACATTTTGGAGGCGATAAAGGTTAGTACCTGGGACTTTGGTAATAATGTGAGCAGTACTCAGTTCCGATTACGCATTATTTTGTGTGAGGGAAATGAGAGATCATGTGATATGTCATGTGATATTAATGGACGAATTACGGTTCTTTAATCGGAAAAGGGGGGAAATCGGGAAAAAATCTGGAAATTTTGTATTTGCCCTTATTCTGTGTTGTGTGAAACAGTGTTCGTTAATTTTTGGATCCCATGGCCCTAACTAAAGTGAATTCGAAATGGGTATTTAGTGGGATTGAAAGGCGTAGTAATAAGTGTTTCTTTAAGGTTGTGCGAGATAGAAGTAAAGATGTTTTATTAAGTTATTTATTTTACCTGGTACCTTGGTGTGAACTATAAGTATGATTTTAAAGATCCTGAAACAGAAATAAGAAAAGTTTTATCGGACACGTAATCAAATTCTGAAGAAGAATAGGTAAGTTAGTATTTTTAATTATTTGAGGATATTATTTTTATGCATTGTTCTAAATGTAAGGTGGAAGTAAAGTAATTTGCGTAAACGTGCATGGAAATAATTTAAATATTTGACACTAAGTATTTGTAACCATTTGTAATGAAGTAAAGGTATGAATTCGTTGGTGACGTTTATAATATAATAGATAATTTAGAGGTAAAAGTTTTTGGATATTTTATTTATTTTATACGTGGAAAATGTTCATATTTGGAAAGGGTATATACTTTTTTCGCGATCAGGTAATTTCATATATGTTCTTTTTACCGGGTTTAAAGATTCAGAAAATTGTTCATGCATTTTCGTGAAATTTTTCTAATTTATGAGAAAAAAGGCAGTGTACATGGATATAGTGAAGAGTGTGCGCAATGCCATTTTTGTGCAATTCTGGGATGTTTTTTTTTAAGTAAAAATAAGTCGACGTGTACATGGTTTAGTGATATTTTAATTAAATGATAGTTATTTTGTGAATTTTATGTTTGTAGGAATTTGGTATACGTTTCAGTTGAAGTAAACGTGCATGGAAATAATTTAAATATTTGACACTAAGTATTTGTAAATGTTTGCGGTATGAATTCGTTGGTGACGTTTATAATATAATAGATAATTTAGAGGTAAAAGTTTTTGGATATTTTATTTATTTTATACGTGGAAATGTTCATATTTGGAAAGGGTATATACTTTTTTCGCGATCAGGTAATTTCATATATGTTCTTTTTACCGGGTTTTAAAGATTCAGAAAATTTGTCATGCATTTTCGTGAAATTTTTCTAATTTATGAGAAAAAGCAGTGTACATGGATATAGTGAAGAGTGTGCGCAATGCCATTTTTTGTGCAATTCTGGGATGTTTTTTTTAAGTAAAAATAAGTCGACGTGTAACATGGTTTATGTGTATGTGTTATTTTGAAAAACGCGCAAGGAGTTTGCGATTGTGCACTTTTTCCCAATTTTGCAGTTAATATTTGTCATGATTAAGCAGTTTTGTTAGATAAAATTTCTAGCATAAGTGTAATTTGGCTAGTAGATTGTTGGAAGAAGTGTTCAGTAGATAAAGAGAAAAGAAACATGTCTTTACTTCGTGAAGACAAAATGGCGGCGGGGAAAAAAAAATAGAGGGTTGCTGTAAGAGAGTTGGTCAGCAAATTTTCGCCAAAAAAACGCCAAGTTACCATAATGTAAAGATCAACCCAAAATGCCATCCAAACCAAAACTAGCAGGTTGCTGTAGCAGTGTTGGTCCCCAAATTTTCGCCAAAAAATCGTTAAGTTACCATAATGTAAAGATTCACCAATCTCGTTTTACCTTTGTTGAACTTTTGAATGAAAAATATGAATATCATTTAAATTATGCTCAATGATATTAATACGGAAGGATTCCTTATTAAGAAAGAAATATTTCAGTTTTATTTCTGTTACTGCTGAGGAAAATTAAAGAGGGACAATGAAGGGCAGTCCTTTTGAACTTCTGCAGTTTATTCTAATTCAAACTCCACAAAAAAGTTTGAAACACCATAATGCTACTGCAAACTGTTTAAAATGTTGCTAGTTGTAGCAAAATTTTTTTAATGAATAAAAATATATTTAAAACCTACAAATGTATATTTTACTATTAAGAAATTTCTCTATACTGTTGCCACAACATCAACTGGAGCAGCGATGCAGACCTCTACAATGTCATTGATGGTTCAGAAAACAAACAAAATAATAAAATAATAGAACTAAAGTTTTACTTCAAAATAAGAGTTTTAATTTATTTCCCTGTGTATAATTTTGACATTTTTAGCTATTTGCTAGCGTATCGATAGGGACGGAAAAACTCTGGTTACACAACTGGTAGTCGTATGTTTAATTCAGATTTTTGTCTAATCTAATACATTGAACATAATAATTAAAACGTTTTTGAATCACACTAAAGCATACAGACCACATTCTCAGCATTGGACTCCATTTCACTTTGCGTTCTTTAATTATTTTTTCTCGTATAACTCCATGCACTGATGGAAAATATTGACTTGTTAGAGATGTTGCAAGAGCTTTCACGTTTCCCGAAATAACAGCGTACGGGACAACTCCGCCACTACTTTTTACTTTTTCGGGTAACTCAGAGTTAATTTCAAAACTTTCAGCTTCCTGCGAAAATACAAAATATATCAAGCGGATATCTTAAAAATAAAATATGTAACCGAACACCTAAAAAGATGTCAATATAAATACAGACCTTTAAGGACTTTAGACATATTTCTCTAGTTTTATACAGTTTGTAGAACAGACTAAAAAGACATACGTCAAAGGCTAAAGTAGCACATTCAATAAAAACTGAATCTGGGTCCATAATGAAAAAAAATGATTTTCATGCAATCTAATAAGCTTAAAATTTCGAAACGAATTTAACGAGTAATACAATACGAATACTAAGCGGAATATAAATAGATACCTACAGACAGACAGACAGACAAAGTAGACAGATGTCTTGTTTTGCACCCGCTAAGTCTTTCTGCACCGATGGGCGAAAAATCAAGCATAGGTGCGAAGAAAGGTATATAGAAAGAGGGGCAATTTCGTATTTGAGGAGAGTAAAAAGAACTTCGTACATCTTGTACGAGTTCAAAAGGCCAGGAAGAAAGATGGGACAAAATAAAATTTAAAATAAATGGCCTAAAAATAATAGAGGGAAAAAAAAAAAAAAAAAAAGGCCTATAGAAAGAAAAGGAAAAGAAATAAATATCCTAAAATACGATTGTGTCCATGAGTGTAGTTAAAAGGAGAAGAAACTGTCTTCATTTACAATAAATAGTGTCTCACAGGTGTGTTTGTGTAGTGAGTGTTTGGTAATAGTGAATAGATGTGTTTACTGGGGAAAAACAATATTGACGGTGTTAAAATGCTTTGTATCAAGGTATTTAGCATGGAATATAAAGTAATATGTACGCTTGCATCCTGAGATATCAACAAAGGTCATCAAACAAAAGTATATATTAATTTAACCAAAGTAACTTATGCTACTTTCATTCTCAACATTTTCATACATTTTTCAAAAAGCAGCAGCAGACTAACAACATAGAACCATATACAATACAAGACCACAACCGCATACACCAAAAAAAAAAAAATAATAAAAATAAAAAAAAAAAATAAATAAAATAAAATATATATATATATATATATTTATCTGTGTAAATAACTGAGTATATGTATTAAAAACACAATTAAAAAGTATTTATTTAATTTAACTATCATAATTTATTACAAGATTAATTATTTTACTATCATAATTTATTACTATTAAATAATGTTAATATAACACAATGAGGCACACTGTTATTTATATAAGCTCATAGTTCTAAGAATTCATTTAAGGCGGTGAAGAATAAACCAAATGAAGAATAATTCCTTACATATGGACATTTAACAGATAGCAAGGAACAGTATGAGAAAAAATCGTTGAGGTATAATATTATTTAAAGGCGAAACTATCCGCGATTCCAGCGCTCTGATACGCCATCTAGTGGCTAAAAGGTGGAAACATTAAAGCTCGGTATTTACGTTTGGCAATGCTACGTAGTTTGTGAAGCGTGTTGCGATCGAAAATTAATTAAACGTTTTATTTTTTATTGTTGTGGGCATTATGTATAACTTAGAAAGACCACACGTTTTGTTTTGTACACCAGTGTAAATCACGAGCTTGCAAAGAACCTGAGTTATGCTTCCATTGCATTCTTGGTTCGAAAAATATCGAACGAGATAGCAAAACGAAGAAGGGAGTGGTTTCGCGTATTTCGAATTGGAAAGAAAGTTGGACGTTATATGAACGTTCTAAGCATTTAAAGAAAAATGATTACATTTTTTCTCGTAAGAAAAGTTTTCTTTAGATATGCAAAATTTCTTTCTCGTGTATCATATATATAACGTGTATGTGTATCCATTATTTTTTAAAATGATATTTTAAATGCTTTTTGTTCATATAAAAACAGCAATAAACATTCTAAATAATAAGATTATTAAAAAATTTGAACATTTATAAGGTTTGCAAGGACAACATGATCGATTTTGTTATAAATCACATGGTTTTGACATGTTTTGAGTTGCTCCTGACAGATTGGTAGAAGCCTGGTGATCCTGTTATGACAAATCTTAACAGATAAAGATATAACATGTGATAAGAATATAAAAGGTAAGGTTTAGATTAGGCTATTTGAAATATGGCTAAGCACATTGGTTATCAGCCTGAGAAGAATGCTTTTATGAAGAACTTTATAGGAAAACTGGTTCGTATTCACAAACACATGCAAAAAAATAAAACTGCACGCCAGCTTGTTCACCAGATTTGAGCTGAGATTAACTACCCGTATTGAGTTGTTTAAACCACTTGTATGACAAAACTAAAAATGCTTTAATATCATGTAATCAAAGTTAACTGCATGTTATAGGCCACAATTGCTTTCTCAGTACTGAGGTAGGTAATCTTAATCTGCTTTTTTTTTTTTTTTTTGAAATGTTTGGTCATGGTATTATTCATTGCATGTATTTTCTATAATACATACAGAATATAATAGTTCTATAACCAGTGCTTTTTTTTCATTTTTAAGTGCTTTGCTTGTTGATATTCTCAAAATTGCATTTGATGATTAGTGCTACATGTGTATAAAATACATAGTTGCATATAAAGATCAATATATTTTTTAGTTACATATAATAATTCAATATCATTTTAATGGGGAAAAAGACTTTGACTGCACAGATTTTCTGAAATCCCCAGTAAAACACACATGAAATCATGGTTGATCTTTACAATCAGTAAGTTAAAATCAGCACCTTCACAATACAAAAAAACGCGACACAATTTCCTACAACAGCCAGCAGTTCCTCCGTTACGTGAACAAGAATTTTTTTTTAAATTTTATTTGTCCTTTTTGAACAATGAATGTCCTTCGATTTCTTGCGATCAGGACGCTATACAACTTATCCTTAAATAGGAAGCAAAAATTTGTATACTAGATTTTTCAAGTAAAATTCTGTGCATTACCAAATGATCAGCTTTTAAAATTCTCTCTGATTCAGTAATACAGCTAGAATTTACACATCCTCGAACAAAATCAAACATTTCGGAAGAGCTAAGCAACTCCATTTTGAATGTACGAAGTCAGATCACAAATCAAATACCGAGTTTTATCCGCCATACTAATGTGCGAAGCGCCATCTATAGGTGAATTGATCGCGGATATTCAAGGATCTAGAAAGAAAGAGAATCCAGAGATCCGAGAGGGAAATAGCGCGATGCCAAATTATCCCTCTCATCCCCAAATTTTCCCTCTCTCGAGATTCCTTAAGGGCTTGTAAGTGTTGACAACGTGAACTGATAACGCTGGCGTCTTTTCGATTTATACACAAGGAAGCCACAGCAATGGCAATTTCAAGTATTTTTTTAATGCTTTAAAATGATGAAAAATTAAGATTTATTGATTTAAAGCACTTATTTATAGAAATTTGATTTATTTAGATGAAAGAAAAGTACTTATCTTAAAATTCAGGCTTTTTGAGTATCCTTACATTGTCCGCTGTTTTATTCCGTCCATATGAGCCGAAATTCATTGGATGATAAGGTTTTGTAGGGGAAAAACATTTTTCAAAGAAATTTAATTGATAATACCAAGAGGAAAGGAAAAATTTTCACTTTTTTACGGAGCGCAGCGATCGTGCTGCCGCTTGCCTCGGTGATGGCAAAGCGCAGCTGCCAAACGCAATCTGAAAAATTTTTAAACCTAAATAGATACCTAAACTCTAGTCTTTCTGCCCCGTAGACTATAGTTACAGGGCTATAGTTAATTCAATACTGTAAAGGCCTTTATTTTCTCGAGGCTTTCATTTTCGAGATTTTCGCGGGCCCGTCGTAATCGCAAAAATTTAAGCTTGCGATACTTTTTTTTCTGCCTGAAATAATAAAAAAATCAAATTTTTCACTTACCCCAAATTTTAATGATTATTGCGCAGTTTACAAGCATTTTTGACAACTTTTTTCCTATAACTATTTTTGAATAATATAGACTATATTTCGAATATAAACAAAAATTATAGAAGGGCAGCTTATTCATTTGAATTCTAATTTATATCAGCTTCTTTGAGGCCATTCAAATTATCTCATGTTTGGCTTCAATACCATTAATACGCGCACAGCCAAACGCGTGAGTCGTTTATTCGCCAGCCACAGATTCTTTTTCCTCTAGAAATTGAAGCTCATATTAGAATACCACTCAATAAACTCATTCTTGAGCAAACGCTTGAACTCTACATTTAGACGGGAATGGGGGGGGGACTAACTTTTCGGACAAAATGAAGTTTCCTAAAATAATTTATGCAAAAGATGTACTTTTGGAATTTTTCAACTTTCTCAACTTTTGAACTTCAACTTTCTCAACTTTGGTACTTTTGAAGTTTTTCAACTTTCGGTTATGTTCATATAAAGTTTGCGAAATTTTCAGCTCGTGAAATCACTCATATATTGATTTTTGTGAAAATTGCAGCCTCCGAAAATAAGGGCCTTTACAGTATCTCGCATGGTATTCAGTACTGCGAGATATTCAATTAACTATATAACAGTGTACTGTAGACTATAGTTAATTGAATATCTCGCAGTGTATTTTCTTCTTTGATAGTGTACACCAAACTTAAGTAAAGTATAAAATAGAAACTAACAACATACAGGGGTTGGACAAAAATAGGGAAACACCTTTAAAAAAACATGTTTCTTTACTTAATATGGTGTAGGAAACCCGTTGGCATCCAAAACAGCTTGCAGTCTTCTCGGAATGGATAAATACAGTTCCTGTATGTTTGCCAAGGGAATATTATACCATTCTTCCTGCAAAACGGTGGCAAGTTCAGATAACGATGTTGGCGGTGGATAACGAGAACGCACTTTCCGTTCCAATGTAGACCCAAAGGTTCGATAACATTCAGGTCTGTGACTGTGGTGGCAGGGAAGATGGGACAACTCATCCTCGTGCTCAGAAAACCAGTCCTGGACAATGTGAGCTGTGTGAACAGGTGCTTTGTCGCTTGGAAGACACCATCACCATCGGGGAACAAAGTTGTACCATGGGATGAACTTGATCGGCCAAAATGTTCACATAAGTCTTGGCAGTCATTGGCCTTGGCCTGACACAGTTATCATGGGGCTAGCAGAGAACCACGATATGGCTGCCCAAACCATAACAGAACCCCCGCTATGTTTCACTCTTGGCAACAAGCAGTCTGTATTATAGGCTTGAGATGGCGTTCTCCAGACGTAAACTCGGCCAGAAGTGGGAAACAATGTGAAAGAAGACTCGTCAGACCATATTACTCGCTTCCACTGCTCTATAGTGCAGGCTTTATGACTTAAACACCACCTTTTCCTGTTACGGGCATTAGCATCACTGATGAGTGGCTTCTCAATTGCAGCACGGCCAGCAAT